ATTCAGAAGTGTAGCTTGAATGGGATCAAAACCTGGAGCAGTAGGAGCAAAGGAGGACAGAGTGAGTACAGCAGCACTCTCTGGGATCTACAAGGTGAGAAACTGCCACAAGTAGTAAACATTCTAAGGAACTGTGCTGGGATCAGTCTTTCATCCATGTCCCGGGAGATCTTCCAAGCAGCCAGGAGGGCTGGTGGTGTTTGCAGGCTGTGGAGCTAGGAGCGGCTCTACAGGAGGAGAGAAGACATCTCTGCATGTAGTTACGAGAAGCTAAGCTGATTTTTGAGGGGCTACTTCCTTGCCCATAAAGGGCTGTGTTGCTGCTGATCCGCAGCGACTGACGGCTGTCAAGGAAAGAACAGTCCAGAATCTGCCTTTGTAATCCCTATTTCCCTATCCAAGTTATTTTCCCCTAATAAAATAACAAAACCAAGCCCACGGACTGGTCGCTGTCTCTTGGATACAAGTCTGTGTGAGAAATACCTGTTGCCTGGCTGTGCAGAGAGAGCTTAGGGGTACCCACAACACAGCGGCCCTCACTGAGGGGAGAGCTACACCCCTATTATTTCAACTGTGCGCGTGCTTGGGTGAACAGCGGGATGGCAAGAATCTCCCATGAGTCCCGCCACTCACCCAAGATAGGGAGGAGCATAATGTCTAGGTAACATTATGAGAAAAAAAATGAAAAAAGGTTGGGGGAGTTAGAAGGGGGAATATGGTAAAGAAGTGAAGAGTATAAGGAATCAGGGAATGTTCACCACCCCCTAAACTGAGGGAGGTGCAGTCACAGAGTACCAGATCAAAGTTGGAAAAAGTCAGGGCCAATTAATCTAACAGCATGCCTTAGGAGTATGGGAGGAAACCCATGCAGGAATGCAAACAGAACATGCAAACCCAATGCAGATAATATATTTTCTGGGACCCAGACCAAAGACCCCATTGCAGCAAGGTTGAAGTGCTTTTTCTTTAACTATATATATATATATATAAAATTTTAATGCATTTTTAATTTATTGATTTCTATTTATTTATTTAGTATTCATTTTCCCTATTTTTGTATTGTTTCTTTACATTTTTTTATTTTACTGTTTTTGGCCGTCTTTATTTTTTTTGTTTGGAAGAAACAAAAACCCATAAAAGTAATCAGGCATGTTTAATAAAGAATAATTCCAGGATAAATGAAAAGAGTTTACATAATCCTCAAGAACCCTTTAAAGTCCATTGCACCATTAAAAAATCACCAAAAAATGTTCTTTAATTTTGTCCTCCTCATTGACTACAACATGTTCAACCAAAATAAAAAACTTCAGATTTTCACCAAAATTTTGGCAAAATAAAAACTCTCAATTTTGCTCATCTGAAGACAGAAAAAATGGCCCTTTTGCAAGCTTACATAATATGCCAGAGTCTAAGGAGAGCGCTTTCAGGCAGAATCGAGCTTGTCCATGCCCATAGGAGGCTGAATCACAAACTCTGGCTCCTCGCTAATTGGTGTCAGAGTTTCTTTTAATCTTTTTTGCTTTGGATGCCGACACTGGAATCTTTGCCTGGGATCTCCCCCTTTGATGCATTTCACCTTAGAAATTCTCTAAGAATAAAATAGGAAAAGAAAGAATAGAATAAAAGAAAGAATAGAATATAATAGAGTGTCACTCACCACAAAAAAAAGAAACAATGCCTTAAACACATATAGATGACATAACCACACACACAAATACATTCAATAATAAACCCACAAAAAATAATATAATTAAAAACATTAAAATGTAATGCAATTCCAAAATTCAGAATCTATCTAGTTGGCACGGGCCAATTTAATTTAATATTTGCATGAAGGGCATTTTCTAAATCTAATTTTCCCAAACCTCAATATTCCTCCAATACCTACCTGTTGGCATTAATTCAAATAAACGATGACCTGGATGAAAAAAATATTTCACAATGCTCTCTTCTTCATGAAGACTGTGGGACTTGAAAATATCAGCCAATGAGAGAAATTGACAGTTTATGTTTTTCCGTGCAGTATTAATGACTCTCTGGAGTGCAATCTTACAGCTGATGAACACCAAGTGTAGCACCCCGAAATACGGGTACATACTCAATGGGTGGAACAATAAAAGTTTACGAATAGCTTCACTCCTAAACCACTTTTCTTGAGTACTCCCAAGCCTATCTCTACGGCAGGGTTTCTCAACCAGGGTTCCTCCAGAGGTTTCTAGGGGTTCCTTGAGCAATGAGAAGTTTGCTAAAGTATTAAAAAGATGGGAGCACCACAATAGTTTGTAGAGTTCATGAAAGATTTATTCTGCAATAGCCAATGCATTTTAGGGCTCAACACTCCCCCTTTGTCAGGGCTTGAAGTATGAATGAGGGCAACATCCTGGACTGTAAGTTGGAACCCTGGTAGGTGTATATCATGGTTTGTCAACAAAGGTTCTCCCAGAGATTGCTAGAGGCTCCTTGATCAATGAGCAATTTCTGCCTCTCAGATAAGCTCCTACTGACACCACTGACCTTTTTAGCTTTCTGTAAAGGGTTAAATCTTCCCAATATCCACAGGTGTAAGCAACGTTCTTCTCATTGACCATCACACTAATGTATCATGAGTTATAGATATTGTCAGTTTTAGCAGGGGTTCCCTGAGATGAGAAAGTTTTTTTTCAAGGGTTCCTCTGTGTTGAAAAGGTCAAGAAAGGCAGTTCTAGGGTGAAATGAATCAGAAGGTGCGGTCCCAAGGTCTTCACCAAAACCAATTTTCTCCAAAACTGATAAACATTTTTGGAGCTGTTTATGAAAACACAAAAACATATTCACCCCCCCTAAAAAAAACACCAAAAAAACAACAGAGGACCCTAACCCTAAAAAAGCTGTCTTGGCCTGAGTTCCATTTTTAGGAACTTTATGACTCAAATTCCTGGTTCTTCACTATTCTAGAGAGTAGAGATGAGCGAATCGAACTTGGCGAAGTGGAATTCGTTTTGAATATCAGGAAAAATTCGATTCGCATCGAATCCGAATTTTAAAAACAAACTTCGGGTGCACGAATCGAATTTTCCCCGATCAGCCGGCAAAAGTGTCACTGCAGAGAGCTCCGCTATTTCTGACAGTTCATTTACAGCGGTTGAAACATTGTATCTATTTGTTTCCATTTAGGATACAGATGTTTTTATTCGGAAATAAATAGATATAATGTTTCAACCGCTGTAAATGTGAAGGAACTGTCAGAGAACTGTCAGAAATAGCGGAGCTCTCTGCAGATACACTTTTTGCTGTACTGGAATTCTCTTCTTTTCTTTTCATTTTTCTTCTTTTCATTCTTCTTCTTCTTTTCATTCTTCTTTTCATTCTTCTTTTCATTCTTCTTCTTCTTCTTTTCATTCTTCTTCTTCTTTTCATTCGTCTTCTTCTTCTTCTCTTTTCATTCTTCTTGTCTTCTTCTTTTCATTCTTCTTTTCATTCTTCTTCTTTTCATTCTTCTTCTTCTTTTCATTCTTTCTTCTTCTTCTTTTCATTCTTCTTTTCATTCTTCTTCTTTTCATTCTTCTTCTTCTTCTTTTCATTCTTCTTCTTTTCATTCTTCTTCGTCTTTTCATTCTTCTTCTTCTTCTTTTCATTCTTCTTCTTTTCATTCTTCTTTTTCATTCTTCTTCTTCTTCTTTTCATTCTTTTCTTCTTCTTTTCATTCTTCTTTTCATTCTTCTTCTTCTTCTTTTCATTCTTCTTCTTCTTTTCATTCTTCTTTTCATTCTTCTTCTTCTTCTTCTTTCATTCTTCTTCTTTTCATTCTTCTTCTTCTTCTTCTTCATTCATTTCTTTTCATTCTTCTTTTCTTCTTTTTCATTCTTCTTCTTTTCTTTTTCATTCTTCTTTTCATTCTTCTCATTCTTTCTTTTAATTCTTCTTTTCATTCTTTTTATTCTTCTTTTTCATTCTTCTTCTTCTTCTTTTCATTCTTCTTCTTCTTCTTTTCATTCTTCTTTTCATTCTTTCATTCTTCTTTTCATTCATTCTTTTCTCATTCTTCTTTTCATTCTCTTCTCATTCTTCTTTTCATTCTTCTTCTCTTCTTTTCATTCTTCTTCTTCTTCTTTTCATTCTTCTTCTTCATTCTTTTCTTCTTCTTCTTTTCATTCTTCTTCTTCTTCTTTTCATTCTTCTTTTTCATTCTTCTTCTTCTTCTTCTTCGTCGTAGCCCCGTGACTGCCCAAATGAGTGAAGTGTGCGGTGATTCTAAGATCGACGGCACTCATCTGCATGTCATACTGACTGACAGTATTATTTCTCTTCCCCAGCAGACTCCAAGGGCATTTAAATTAAAGGTACAGTGTTCTGCACTAATATAAAGGCTCTCTGAAGCCTAGAAACCCTTTTAATAAGTTAAAAATTAGTGAAAATTCTGATGATAGAAGTTCAAAGTCATTTTCAGAAATGTCTTAATGAATTGAATGAGCACAACACTAAATACCTCACCGAACGTTCCTTCTCATTGGCCGCAGAGAGCATATTTCTGGTAACCTGAGTCCTTTTTCATTTATGTATTTGTATTTCTTCCAGTCTGACTTGATGTCAGTTCAGAGGAGGCCATCAAAATCTGACAATTAAAGTTCTGACAAAAGCAGGTGGAGCTATGTTTTCCATTACACATTCACTCTCTGTTTGGCCACCAGGCTGGGTCGAGACAGGCAGGACACCTACGGCCAACTGCCTGATTGCCGTGAAATCCTTCCCTGTGTACACATGGTGTGAGTCCAACTCACAATCCTAAATCACTGGAGCACTGCGGGACTTGGACAAGGAGCAGCTATAATGATATCAAACGCCTCCACAGCTTTAGTGTGACAAAGTCTGGCACAGAGGAGGCTGTGTCCTTTCCTGGGGAGTTTAAAGGGAAATTATAATAGTTTGGGGAAAATTGTTTGTTTTTAAGATTGTAAGACCGTAAACCAGGGATTCTCATCCAGGGTTATGTGGAACCTTAGGGTTTCCTCCAGAGGTTGCTAGAGGTTCCTTGAGCACTGAATCATTTCTGCCTCTCTGATCCCACTGACAACATTGATCCTTTTAGGTATCTGTAAGGGAGTAATTCTTCTTAATGTTCACCAATGTAAGGGGCATTCTTCCCACTGACCCCCAATGTAAGAAGCATTCTTCCCACTGATCACCAATGTAAGGGCCATTCTTCCCGCTGACCCCCAATGTAAGGGCCATTCTTCCCGCTGACCCCCAATGTAAGAAGCATTCTTCCCACTGACCCCCAGTGTAAGGGGCATTCTTCCCACTGACCCCCAATGTAAGAAGCATTCTTCCCACTGACCCCCAATGTAAGGGGCATTCTTCCCACTGACCACCAATGTAAGGGGCATTCTTCCCACTGGCCACCAATGTAAGGGGCATTCTTCCCATTGACCCCCAATGTAAGGAGCATTTTTCCCACTGACCCCCAATGTAAGGAACATTCTTCCCACTGACCCCCAATGTAAGGGGCATTCTTCCCACTGACCTCCAATGTAAGGGGCATTCTTCCCACTGGCCACCAATGTAAGGGACATTCTTCTCACTTACCACCAATGTAAGGGGCATTCTTCCCACTGACCACCAATGTAAGGGGCATTCTTCCCACTGACCCTTAATGTAAGGAACATTCTTCCCACTTACCACCAATGTAAGGGGCATTCTTCCCACTGATCACCAATGTAAGGGGCATTCTTCCCACTGACCACCAATGTAAGGGGCATTCTTCCCACTTACCACCAATGTAAGGGGCATTCTTCCACTGACCCCTGACCCCCAATGTAAGGAACATTCTTCCCACTTACCACCAATGTAAGGGACATTCTTCCCACTGACCACCAATGTAAGGGGCATTCTTCCCACTGATCACCAATGTAAGGGGCATTCTTCCCACTGACCACCAATGTAAGGGGCATTCTTCCCACTGACCACCAATGTAAGGAGCATTTTTCCCACTGACCCCCAATGTAAGGAACATTCTTCCCACTGACCCCCAATGTAAGGGGCATTCTTCCCACTGACCCCCAATGTAAGGGGCATTCTTCCCACTGACCTCCAATGTAAGGGGCATTCTTCCCACTGGCCACCAATGTAAGGGACATTCTTCCCACTGACCACCAATGTAAGGGGCATTCTTCCCATTGACCCCCAATGTAAGGAATATTCTTCCCACTTACCACCAATGTAAGGGACATTCTTCCCACTGACCACCAATGTAAGGGACATTCTTCCCACTGACCCCCAATGTAAGGGGCATTCTTCCCACTGACCCCCAATGTAAGGGGCATTCTTCCCACTGACCTCCAATGTAAGGGGCATTCTTCCCACTGACCACCAATGTAAGGGACATTCTTCCCACTGACCCCCAATGTAAGGAGCATTCTTCCCACTGATCACCAACGTAAGGGACATTCTTCCCACTGACCACCAATGTAAGGGACATTCTTCCCACTGACCACCAATGTAAGGAACATTCTTCCCACTGATCACCAATGTAAGGGGCATTCTTCCCACGGACCACCAATGTAAGGAGCATTCTTCCCACTGACCACCAATGTAAGGGGCATTCTTCTCACTGACCACCAATGTAAGGGGCATTCTTCCCACTGACCTCCAATGTAAGGGGCATTCTTCCCACTGACCACCAATGTAAGGGACATTCTTCCCACTGACCCCCAATGTAAGGAGCATTCTTCCCACTGATCACCAACGTAAGGGACATTCTTCCCACTGACCACCAATGTAAGGGACATTCTTCCCACTGACCACCAATGTAAGGAACATTCTTCCCACTGATCACCAATGTAAGGGGCATTCTTCCCACGGACCACCAATGTAAGGAGCATTCTTCCCACTGACCACCAATGTAAGGGACATTCTTCTCACTGACCACCAATGTAAGGGGCATTCTTCCCACTGACCTCCAATGTAAGGGGCATTCTTCCCACTGATCACCAATGTAAGGGACATTCTTCCCACTGACCACCAATGTAAGGGGCATTCTTCTCACTGACCACCAATGTAAGGGACATTCTTCCCACTGACCACCAATGTAAGGAGCATTCTTCCCCCACTGACCACCAATGTAAGGGACATTCTTCCCACGGACCACCAATGTAAGGGGCATTCTTCCCACTGATCACCAATGTAAGGGGCATTCTTCCCACTTACCACCAATGTAAGGGGCATTCTTCCCACTGACCTCCAATGTAAGGGGCATGGTGGTGGCAGCATCATGCTTTGGGGCTGTTTTTCAGCATCATGCTTTGGGGCTGTTTTTTCAGCTGGAAATGGGGCCTTAGTCCAGGTAGAGGGAATTGTGAACCGTTCCAAATACCAGTCCATATTGATGCAATACCTTCCGGCTTCTGCTAGAAAGCTGAACATGAAGAGGAACTTCCTCTTTCAGCATGACAATGACCCAAAGCATCCATCCAAATCAACAAAGGAATGGCTTCACCAGAAGATGAAAGTTTTGGAATGGCCCAGCCAGAGCCCAGACCTGATCCGATGGAAAATCTGTGGGGTGATCTGAAGAGGGCTGTGCACAGGAGATGTCCTCACAATCTGACAGATTTGGAGTGTTTTTGCGAGGAAGAGCGGGCAAATATTGCCAAGTCAGGATGTGCCATGCTGATAGACTCCTCCCCAAAAAGACTGAGTGCTGGAATCACATCAAAAGGGGCTTCAACAAAGGATTAATGTAAGGGTGTGCACACTTATGCAACCATAAGGAAAGCGCAAGTGGACCAGTGTGAAGGCATACATTGAATTTAAAGGGATGTATTTTTTTTTTACTCAAAAGGGTTTTCAAAAACTGCTTAGTATTAAAGCAGCCTATTGGCCAAAAAGATGCTGAAAAGAAATTCATTTCATTTAAATTCATGATATTAATTAAAATGTCAAATAGAATACCAAAAAAAAAAATCATCCAAAGGCATCCTGAATTTTTGGTTTTGGGTCAGAATTTTCATTCCGGTGCACCGTCTGCTTTTATTTTTCTACAAGAGGATGCACCAGCTTTGTTCAGACATCATCCAGAGTCATTATCTACTCCCTGGGCTGAGACGCTGGCTTAGATATGACACAATTACATTAAATCCTGGTGCCCGTGGGGTTCTTGGCTGTGTTCACAAATGCTTTACGCAGATCAGCCCCTGCTGCAGCCTCTCACATTGTGATTTTCTACAAGGTTACAATGTTGCAGTCTGATGACTGGGAGAGAGGAGACTGAGGAAATGCCTCCTTCTGCTTGCAGCAGACTGAGGACATCATCTCAGCCTAGGCAAAGTCTCTGGAGCTCAAGGGTGACTTTGTAACCGCCTTCCACCCGCCATATAAGGAAATGAGGGACGGGTGGCGGTTCTCTCATTCTAGGAGGACATCATATGACGTCCTCCCTACTCCAACTGTGCATGTGCAACTCCGGGGGTGTGCGGTGATAGGTGGTGCACCGATCAGACTAAAGAGCCGATAACACAGGCTCTGTCATGTGATCAGCTGTCTCCATTCACAGCTGATCGTATGTAAACAAGGAAGTGCCGGTTATCGTCAGTCCTCTTCAGAGGTGGACTGACCATTTGGAAACTCGGGCACTGCCTGAGGGCCCGGGGTCAGTAGGGGGCCCCATGAGATGCCCCTGGTGCCTTTTTCATAGGCTTTTTTGAGTTTGGGCAAGGACACAGGGGCCCCATGAGTTGTCAGTCCGCCCCTGGTCCTGTCCACATGCTGACAGTGCGTGAGAAGAGGAGAGCCGGTAAGCGGCATTCCTCAGAGGGGATATCTACACTGATCATCATGGTGCTGGTCATCAGTGTAGCCCCATCAGTGCCACATATCAATGCCTACCAGTGCACATCAATGCCACATATCAGTGCCTATCAGAGCTGCCTTTCAGTGTCACCCATCAGTGCCAGTCAGTGCCGCCTATCAGAGCTGCCTTTCAGTGCCGCCTATCAGTGCTGCCAATCAGTGCCCGTCAGTGCCGCCTATCAGTTCCAATCAGTGCCGCCTATCAGTTTCATTCAGTGCTGCCTATCAGTGCCAGCCAGTGCTGCCTGTCAGTGCTGTCTATCAGTGCCCATCAGTACCACCTATCAGTGCCATATATGAGTGCTGCCTTTCAGTGCCCATCAGTGATGCCTGACAATGCCCATCAGTGCCACCTACCAGAACCTCCTCATCAGTGCCACCTACCAGTACCTCCTCATCAGTGCCACCTACCAGAACCTCCTCATCAGTGCCACCTACCAGTACCTCCTCATCAGTGCCACCTACCAGAACCTCCTCATCAGTGCCACCTACCAGTACCTCCTCATCAGTGCCACCTACCAGAACCTCCTCATCAGTGCCACCTACCAGTACCTCCTCATCAGTGCCACCGATCAGTGCCCATCACTGCAGCCTCATTAACGCACATCAGTGAAGGAGAAAAAATTACTTATTTACAAAATTTTATAACAAACTAGGAAAAAACTTTTTTTCCAAAATTTTCAGTCTTTTTTTAGTTTGTTTAGCAAAAAATAAAAAAAAACAGCGGAGATCAAATACCACCTAAAGAAAGCTCTATCAGTCTCAAAAAATGCTAAAAATGTCATATGGGTACAGTGTTGCATGACCGCGCAATTGTCATTTAAAGTGCGACCGCGCTGAAAGCTGAACATTGGCCTGGGCAGGAAGGGGGTGACAGTGCCCGGCAGGCGAGGGGTTAATGGTAAAAGATGGCTCCTGTTGATTGTGTTGCGGTCTATTGTGACACGTTGCGATTTTTATTTCCTGTTTTGCCGACAGGTCCACTGATGGTTGTGTTCTCCGGGGATGAAGGGGTTACAGGGGGCGCAGGGATTCTGGGTCACTTGGCTGCTCTGGTGTAACAAGCACACCGCGGACGATGGTTTGAAGCACGCCAGATGTTTTGGAGCGCGTTTCTCGCACGGACGGACCTCCGCTTTTGTTCTCGCTGTGAGTGCGCCGGCCGCCAACTGTTCTCCTTTTACATTTTTTAATACTTGAAGCGTACCTCAGTGATGTCCATTTCTGGGGGGATCGGTGTTTATTGGTGTCGGGAGAACGGCTGCTCTGTCTGTACAGAAATCAAGACGAGAACAAACAGTATTTGGGGAGAAGACAAGTTCAATTACAAGTCCAAATGTCTCTCCAAGCTATCAGCTGGAGCTCCGCCTGGCCATAAATCCTCCTGTACAGCCAGCATGTGTTAGTACATAGCATTGCCCAAGCCGAATATCAGCATTACAGGAAATATTCACCGAGGTTTGCATCATCCATGTAATTAAAGCTCAACTCCAGGCAAAAAGACTATTATTTAGTATATATATAAAAAAAAAATAAAATATATATAATATATATATAAAAAAATATATATAAACCACCTTTGTGTGCACAAAATGCCTTTGCTAACCCAGATATTACCTTGTAAAAGTAGCAGTGACATCATCAATCTGCTGGCCATAACCTGTGCAGAGGACAGAGCTGTGGGAGGGGCCCATCAGGCTCCACCAACTACAGAAAACTACAGGAGGGGGCAGAGACAAGACCAGTCACCCTGCACAAGGAGAGAGAGCAGAGCTGTGGGAGGGACCCTGCAGGCTCCACCCACTACAGGCTGCCCACAGAAAACCAAGGGAGGGGTGGAGTCAAGAACAGTCACCCTGCACAAGGAAAAAAGAGAAGAGCTGTAGGAGGGGCCAAGCAGGCTCCACCCACTACAGGCTGCCCGCAGAAAACCACAGGAAGGGGTGGAGTCAAGAACAGTGACCCTGCACAAGGAAAAAAGAGCAGAGCTGTAGGAGGGGCTCAACAGGCTCCACCCACTACAGGTTGCCTGCAGAAAACCTCAGGGAGGGGTGGAGTCAAAAACAGTCACCCTGTACAAGGTAAAAAGGGAAGAGCTGCAGGAGGGGCTCCGCAGGCTCCACCCACTACAGGCTGCCTGCAGAAAAACACAAGAAGGGGTGGAGTCAAGAAAAGTCACCCTGCACAAGGAAAAAAGAGAAGAGTTGTAGGAGGGGCTCCGCAGGCTCCACCCACTACAGGCTGCCTGCAGAAAAACACAGGAAGGGGTGGAGTCAAGAACAGTGATCCTGCACAAGGAGAGAGAGCAGCAGTGAGCGGTCTTTATTATAGCCAAGGTTTCAGACTGGATTGCTGCACAGATCCGGAAGACATGCTAATGACTTTTAAATATTCATTTTCATCACTTCTTATTGTAGACCCAGTGATGTCATTACTGGGTCTCTGCACTTCTCTATGCAATGCAGGCAGATCATGGCTAGTGGGAGGGTCCGGCAGAGTGCTGCACATAGCTTCCTGAAAACATTACAGCACCCTGCCTCACTATTCCTTTCAAGAGCCCTCTGTCCTCATGCAAACAGTGGGTTGGCTCTTGGGAACAGTTATACAAATATCAAAATGCCTTGATTGGTCGGTCTGGAGGAGTGGGCGTTCCTAGGCAGGCTGTATTTGCATGCAAATGACCCTGGGTGAAGCTGAACCTCCATGATTGAAAGAACTGAAATCCAACCAATGGAAAGGGACAGGTCAGACCAGGGGCGGACTGACAACTCGGGCAATAGGGGATCATGGGGCCCCTGTGTCCTTGCCCAAACTCAAAAAAGCCTATGAAAAAGGTACCAGGGGCATCTCATGGGGCCCCCTACTGACCCCGGGCCCTCGGGCAGTGCCCGAGTTTCCAAATGGTCAGTCTGCCCCTGGGTCAGACTGGGGAGGAAAGTGCTAAATGATGCTGGGCGCCCACCAGCCAATGAATGAAGCGGAGCTCTACCTGACTTCTAATGTGCATTGTGAGAAGCTCACAGTGTGCAGTGAAATCAGAGAAATCATTCAGTACGGTACAACGGTTTCACCTACAATAGGGTATCAGACGGAGGCGTCAGGACTGGTTCAGGTCTGGCAGACAGAACAGAATTTTGTGTATCCAGAAACAGACAGTCAGGTAAACAGATCTGTACACAACGTGTTTATTGTTGAATGTTTCGCTTGGTCTAGCGTGTGCTTTCCCGCACCTTATACCGCGTCCAACATCTGATCTCCGGCCCGGCGCGTTGCCAGCTCTCCGCTCTCTGCCTTCACATGTGCTGATTCCTCCCAAACAGACTGGAGATAAACAAAATAGTTCTGCACTGAATGGCAAACACAATAAGCAACGTAACAAATTACCCGGCAGAGCGCGGGCGTCACGATTCAAATATTGCCATCACATAAAGTTCTAAATTTAGCGCGCCGCTTGGCACGCCGCGACGTATTTGTGTTTTGGGCTTTAATCGGAACCTGATGCATCGGATCCCAAAAATAAAACATTTGGCCTCATCTGCCTGACATTGGGGAAACAAACGGGCTGCGGTACTGACAAAAAAAAAAAAAACGTGACTGACGCATTCGCAGAAGAATGCATGACGGTGACGTCACGGGGAGGAAGGTCATCAATGTCAAGATTCATTCGATGTGATCCCGACTGTTCTCATATATTTATCAGGCTTGCGTCATTTTTAACTCCTTCCTTTAAAAGATTTGAACGGGGAGGATCAGCGATCATGTGACCACGGGGGTTTATTTATTTATTTCAGGTACTTATATAGCGCCGTCAATTTACTCAGCGCTTTCCATATATATTGTACATTCACATCAGTCCCTACATCAAGGGGCGTACATCAGTCCCTAACCCTCAAGGGGTGTACAATCTAAGGTCCCTAACCCTCAAGGGGTGTACAATCTAAGGTCCCTAACCCTCAAGGGGCGTACAATCTAAGGTCCCTAACCCTCAAGGGGCGTACAATCTAAGGTCCCTAACTCACATTCATACAGACACATACTAGGGACAATTTAGACAGGAGCCAATTCACCTACCAGCATGTCTTTGGTTGGCTGTCATGGTGGTCAGTCCCACTGGCAACCAATTATTAATGGGGACTGAGGGCTGCTCAGCTGTGTTGGGAGTGTGCAGAAACATCAGACTCCCAGTGACGCATAAGCACGGCGTGTCACCGCACATTCACTATATTGCCAAAAGTATTGGCCCCGCCCCTCCGAATCATGTGATTCAGGTGTTCCAATCCCCTCCATGGTCACAGATGTATACAATCATCCCCTAGGCATGCAGACGGCTTCTACAAACATTGGTGAAAGAATGGGTCGCTCTCAGGAGCTCAGTGACTCCAAGCGTGGTCCCGTGATAGGTGGTCACCTGTGCAATAAGTCCATCCGTGACATTTCCTGGCTACTAAATATTCCACGCTCAACTGTTAGTGGGATTATAACAAAGTGGAAGCAACTGGGAACAGCAACTCAGCCACCAAGTGGTAGGCCACGTCACATGACAGGGCGGGGTCAGCGCATGCTGACCCCGCCTGTCTGCAGAGTCAATAGCTAAAGACCTCCAAACTTGGTGTGGCCTTCAGATGAGCACAACAACAGTGTGTAGAGAGCTTCATGGAATGGGTTTCCATGGCCGAGCAGCTGCATCCAAGCCTTACATCACCAAGTGTAATGCAAAGTGTCGGCTGCCGTGGTGTAAAGCATGCCATCACTGGACTCTAGAGCAGTGGAGATGTGTTCTCTGGAGTGACCAATCACGCTTCACTGTCGGACAATCCAATGGATGTGTCTGGGTTTGGTGGTTGCCAGGAGAACGGTACTTGCCTGACTGCATTGTGCCAAGTGTAAAGTTTGGTGGAGGGAGAATTATGTGTTGCGCTGTTTTTCAGGGGTTGGGCTTGGCCCCCTAGTTCCAGTGAAGGGAACTCTTAAGGCATCAGCATACCAAGACATTTTGGACAATTTCATGCCCCCAACTTTGTGGGAAGAGTTGGGGATGGCCCCTTCCTGTTCCAACATGACTGCACACCAGTGCACAAAGCAAGGTCCATAAAGACATGGAGGAGCCAGTTTGGGGTGGAGGAACTTGACTGTCCTGCACAGAGTCCTGACCTCAACCCCATAGAACACCTTTGGGATGAATTAGAGTGGAGACTGCGAGCCAGGCCTCCTCCCCCGACATCAGTGCCTGACCTCACAAATGTGCTTCTGGAAGAATGGTCCAACCTTCCCGTAGACACCCTCCTAAACCTTGTGGACGGCCTTCCCAGAAGAGTTGAAGCTGTCATAGCTGCAAAGGGTGGGGCCAACTCAATATTGAACCCTATGGACTAAGACTGGGGGGGCCATTAAAGGTCATGTGCGTGTAAAGGCCGGCCGACCAACACTTTTCGCAGTCTAGTGTAAATAGCTAAAAAGATCAATGGTGTCAGTGGGACCTTATCTGAGTGTAAAGTTTGGTGGAGGGGGGATTATGGTGTGGGGTTGTTTTTTTTATGGATTGGGCTTGGCCCCCTAGTTCCAGTGAAGGGAACTCTGAAGGCATCAGCATACCAAGAAATTTTGGACAATTTCATGGTCCCAACTTTGTGGGAAGAGTTTGGGGATGGCCCCTTCCTGTTCCAACATGACTGCCCACCAGTGCACAAAGCAAGGTCCATATAGACATGGAGGAGCCAGTTTGGGGTGGAGGAACTTGACTGTCCTGCACAGAGTCCTGACCTCAACCCCATAGAACACCTTTGGGATGCATTAGAGCGGAGACTGTGAGCCAATTCTATTCTCAGGTAATGCACTAGGCTGGTGCGCCCTTTCTTCCATTGTTTTTGAAATGGATAAAATCAGGCAAGGGTTAGAACCCAAGCCAGTTTTTTTTTTTGTTTTTTGCGCTCTTTCACATAAAATGTGACAAACATTCACATTATGGTCACTAGAGGGTGCTCACGACGGTAGGAAATAATGATATTGCACAAAATACGGTGATTTTTTTCCGCTTGTGGTTGTGCACATTTTTGTCACATTTGTGCAACAACAGGGGCAGACTGACAACTCATGGGGCCCCCGGGCAATAGAGGATCATGGGGCCCCCTGTGTCCTTGCCCAAACTCAAAAAAGCCTATGAAAAAGGTACCAGGGGCATCTCATGGGGCCCCTACTGACCCCGGGCCCTCGGGCAGTGCCCGAGTTTCCAAATGGTCAGTCAGCCCCTGTGCAGCAATGTTTTTTTTTTTAACACATAGGCCCCTTTAACTTTTTGAAAATAGCGATGGAGGAACCTGAGGTACATCTGTCTTCTGATCTTAGTTTTGTAAACATAAATTCCATTTTACGGGGAAACATTTTGAACATTTTCAGTTAAGCATTTTTTTACTTGTTTTATTATCTTCACACATCTTTCATTCCAGAATAATTCGACTGTTCCATTCACTGGCCATATCTTGGGCATAGGAGGCCTGGTGGCAATGAAGGATCCTACAGACAATACTATAGAAAGCCGGCATTCATTAAATCCATAATTTTATTAAAAACATCTTTAAACAAGGGCTGCAGCAGCTTCCATTCCTCACAGGCTTTTATAGATGAAATGATGGTTTTAATCAATGCTTTGAATGTTGGCCTGCACCCAGGAAGCGTTGTCTCCCTCTTGCTGCCACCAACAATTATCATTTGAACAAGATATCTGAAGGCCGCGTTTGTCAAGTTGAATGGGGAAGATCTTCAAAATGTAGTGATAATGGTATGTGAAATACTGGTGAGTTAACGACCTCCTAAGATTTTACAGGAATTAGTTGGCCCAATGATGGCAAGATGGATTGGCGAATGATTTTACAGTATTTCTGTATGAACTTTTAAAGGAAATTCTACTGGTGTATGGCCAGCCTAAAGCTGAATTCCAGGTATGGCAACTTGTACGTAGTCACAATCAGTGTCGGGACAAGGGTCATCCAGTGTCCAGGGCAAAGATGCCAATTGTTCTCCACAGTTCATAATGTGCAAACTTAGGGGATCCTATTCCCAGCAGTCGCTTGTCAAAATCACTGACGCTATCACTACTCCTGTCAGCCTTGTAACAGAAAGAAGGTACCCCCATCCCTACAGCAAACCATTGCAGCTAGGGCAGCCGCCCCTTCTGCCCACCCCTTGTCCCAGCCCTGGTCACATTGGTCCACCTTGGTCCACTGTAAGTACAGTATGTCATACCTGTGGGATCTCTGTGGAAACTGGATCACCGCTACTACAGTGATCTCCTAACATGGACACCATTACCATAGTGATCTCCTACAGTAGACACCACTACAACGGTGATCTCCTACAGTAGGATCCACTACTACAGCAATCTACACAAAAGACACCATCACTACAGTCATCTCCTACAGTAGACAACATTACAGTAATCTCCTACAGTGAACACTTCTGCTACAGTGATCTCCTACAGTACACAATACTACTACAGTGATCTCCTACAGTACACAATACTACTACAGTGATCTCCTACAGTAGACACCGCTACTTACAGTGATCTCCTACAGTACACATACTACTACAGTGATCTCCTACAGTACACAATACTATACTACAGTGATCTCCTACAGTACACATACGCTACTACAGTGATCTCTACAGTCTACTACAGTGATCTCCTACAGTACCAATACTACTACAGTGATCTCCTACAGTACACAGTGATCTACTACAGTGTGACCGCTACTACAGTAACTCCTACCACTACTACAGTGATCTCCTACAGTACACAATACTACTTCAGTGATCTCCTACAGTACACAATACTACTTCAGTGATCTCCTACAGTACACAATACTACTACAGTGATCTCCTACAGTAGACACCGCTACTACAGTGATCTCCTACCAACTACTACTACAGTGATCTCCTACAGTAGACACCGCTACTACTACAGTAATCTCCTACCACTACTACAGTGATCTCCTACAGTACACAATACTACTACAGGGATCTCCTACAGTACACAATACTACTACAGTGATCTCCTCCAGTACACACCACTACTTCAATGATCTCCTGCAGAAGACACCGCTACTACAGTAATCTCCTACAGTGAACACTTCTGCTACAGTGATCTCCTACAGTACACAGTGACTACATCAGTGATCTCCTACTTCACTACTACAGTGATCTCCTACAGTACACAATACTACTTCAGTGATCTCCTACAGTACACAATACTACTACAGTGATCTCCTACAGTAGACACAATACTACTACAGTGATTCCTCCTACACACTACTACAGTGATCTCCTCAGTAGACACCGCTACTACAGTGATCTCCAGTACACTACTACTACAGTGATCTCCCTACAGTACACAATACTACTACAGGATCTCCTACAGTACACAATACTACTACAGTGATCTCCTGCAGCACACAATACTACTACAGTGATCTCCTCCAGTACACAATACTACTACAGTGATCTCCTCCAGTACACAATACTACTACAGTGATCTCCTCCAGTACACAATACTACTACAGTGATCTCCTACAGTACACAATACTACTACAGTGATCTCCTACAGTACACAATACTACTACAGTGATCTCCTGCAGAAGTCCGCTACTACAGTGATCTCCTACAGTACACACCACTACTTCAGTGATCTCCTACAGTACACAACACTACTACAGTGATCTCCTACAGTACACAATACTACTACAGTGATCTCCTACAGTAGACACCGCTACTACAGTGATCTCCTACCACTAACTACAGTGATCTCCTACAGTACACAATACTACTACAGTGATCTCCTGCAGAAGACACCACTACTACAGTGATCTCCTGCAGAGTACAGACACCGCTACTACAGTGATCTCCTACAGTACACACCACTACTTCAGTGATCTCCTACAGTACACAACACTACTACAGTGATATCTCCTACAGTACACAATACTACTACAGTGATCTCCTACAGTACACAATACAACTACTACAGTGATCTCCTACAGTAGACACCGCTACTACAGTGATCTCCTACACTACTACAGTGATCTCCACAGTACACAATACTACTACAGTGATCTCCTACAGTACACACAATACTACTACAGTGATCTCCTACAGTACACAATACTACTACAGTGATCTCCTCCAGTAACAATACTACTACAGTGATCTCCTCCAGTACCAATACTACTACAGTGATCTCCTACAGTACACAATACTACTACAGTGATCTCCTTACAGTACACAATACTACTACAGTGATCTCCTACAGTAGACACCGCTACTACAGTGATCTCCTACACACTACTACAGTGATCTCCTACAGTAGACACGCTACTACAGTAATCTCCTACCACTACTACAGTGATCTCCTACAGTACACAATACTACTACAGTGATCTCTCCTACAGTACACAATACTACTACAGTGATCTCCTACAGTACACATCCCGCTACTACAGTGATCTCCTACAGTACACAATACTACTACAGTGATCTCCTACAGAAGACACGCTACTACAGTGATCTCCTACAGTACACACACCACTACTTCAGTGATCTCCTACAGTACACATACCACTACTTCAGTGATCTCCTACAGTACACAATACTACTACAGTGATCTCCTGCAGAAGACACCACTACTACAGTGATCTCCTGCGAAGACACAGAACCTACAGTGATCTCCTACCACTACTACAGTGATCTCCTACAGTAAGACACCACTACTACAGTGATCTCCTACAGAAGACACCCCTACTACTACAGTGATCTCCTGCAGAAGACACCACTACTACAGTAATCTCCTGCAGAAGACACCCCTACTACAGTGATCTCCTGCAGAAGACACCACTACTACAGTAATCTCCTGCAGAAGACATCACTACTACAGTGATCTCCTGCAGAAGACACCGCTACTACAGTATCTCCTGCAGACACCCAGAAACACCGCTACTACAGTGATCTCCTGCAGAAGACACCACTACTAGTAATCTCCTGCAGAAGACACCCTACTACAAATCTCCTGCACCAGAATACCCTACTACAGTAATCTCCTGCAGAAGACACCACTACTACAGTGATCTCCTGCAGAAGACACCCCTACTACAGTGATCTCCTGCAGAAGACACCACTACTACAGTGATCTCCTGCAGAAGACACCGCTACTACAGTGATCTCCTGCAGAAGACACACTACTACACAGTGATCTCCTGCAGAAGACACCCCTACTACAGTGATCTCCTGCAGAAGACACCGCTACTACAGTGATCTCCTGCAGAAGACACCGCTACTACAGTAATCTCCTGCAGAAGACACCTACTACTACCTGTGATCTCCTACAGATCTCCTGCAGAAGACACCGCTACTACAGTGATCTCCTGCAGAAGACACCACTACTACAGTGATCTCCTGCAGAAGACACCGCTACTACAGTGATCTCCTGCAGAAGACACACCGCTACTACAGTGATCTCCTGCAGAAGACACCGCTACTACAGTGATCTCCTGCAGAAGACACCGCTACTACAGTGATCTCCTGCAGAAGACACCCTACTACAGTGATCTCCTGCAGAAGACACCGCTACTACAGTGATCTCCTGCAGAAGACACCGCTACTACAGTAATCTCCTGCAGAAGACACCGCTACTACAGTGATCTCCTGCAGAAGACACCCCTACTACAGTGATCTCCTGCAGAAGACACCGCTACTACTCAGTACCGCTACTACATCTCCTGCAGAAGACACCGCTACTACAGTGATCTCCTGCAGAAGACACCGCTACTACAGTAATCCTGCAGAAGACACCGCTACTACAGTAATCTCCTGCAGAAGACACCGCTACTACAGTGATCTCCTGCAGAAGACACCGCTACTACAGTGATCTCCTGCAGAAGACACCGCTACTACAGTGATCTCCTGCAGAAGACACCGCTACTACAGTAATCTCCTGCAGAAGACACCGCTACTACAGTAATCTCCTGCAGAAGACACCGCTACTACAGTGATCTCCTGCAGAAGACACCGCTACACAGTAATCTCCTGCAGAAGACACCGCTACTACAGTGATCTCCTGCAGAAGACACCGCGCTACACAGTGATCTCCTGCAGAAGACACCGCTACACAGTGATCTCCTGCAGAAGACACCCTACTACAGTAATCTCCTGCAGAAGACACCGCTACTACAGTAATCTCCTGCAGAAGACACCGCTACTACAGTGATCTCCTGCAGAA